GTAAGCAGTGATACGTTACTAGAATTTTCTTCACATAACAAGATGGTGGCAGCATATTAAACCGGGTGACAGAGCGGGATACCTCCACGCCCCCTGTCACCACGGCGTAACAGTGGCGACAGCGGTGAGATAACCAATCCACCCCTGTCGTAAGGACGTAAGGGCATAACAGTGGTGTAGTGACAGCATAACAGTGGTGGCAGCGGCGGGATACCTCCACGCCCCCTGCCACCACGGCATAACATTATATTTTCCCATTTCAGCCAAATTTCAACAGTAATATAATACGAAACGACAGGGTTTGGGTTATATTCATAATAACACAGGATTATGGTGATATTAGCATAATTTTTGTGTTGTTCATTTTATTTATAACCATGGCCTCTATTATTTTTACTGCCAGAATTTATAAACACGTTCCTTAATAGCAGAATTAAATTAATTCCGGATAGTTTTCAGTTTCGGGCTAATATAAACACGATAATACAACCTCTGGTTAAATGAAATACCGAAAGTTGCTTGATGTGCTGATAGTTTGTCATATTCTCAAAGATAATCTGTTTCATAGGGAGAGATAGTCACTTAATTAGTTCTTTATTAGTTTGCCATAAAACCTTAAAAATGTCTGTTGCTCGCGGCTGTATATGAACGTGCCTCGAGGCCCTGAAAATATTTCATCACAAGGAGTTTCTGTTCAGATGTTATGCAACACCCTTAGGATTCACGAGGATAAATACGTTAGTAATAATCCTGGAATTTCTCCGCCACAGGGAAAGCAGTGCAATTTGTAGTCTGAGGTGCGTCTGGAGACAGCAGGTAAACTTCATTAACATTTCAGAATATTTGCCATTATGTTCTTGTGTTCACCAACTTCTGCACTCAATCATGCCGCGAGTCTGTTATGAGACATGCACTACATGAAACGTAACTCATAGGAAGCAGGCTAGTTCCTTGATATATTAAATGGAAAAAATCCTAAACACGCCTCTGTTTTCCAGACATACCACGTAGTCTTGAAATATAAGCATTTCAAGCAGAAGGAAGATATGTGCTGAAGACACAGGTAGGCCGCACACCGGCATGCGTCAAGACATGTAACAGTCAAGACACGATGTCTGCGACATGACGCAAAGAAAGGAGCACAGTTGAAAAGAATGAGATTATGAAAAACGCCGCACACCGGTCTGAGTCATGACGTCAGCATCATAACTTAGACCAGTGTGCGACGGTTTTCATAATCTCATTCGTTTCAACTGTACTCCTTTCTTTGCGTCATGTCGCAGACATCGTGTCTTGACTGTTACATGTCTTGACGCATGCCGGTGTGCGGCCTATCTTATAAGTATGCAAATGGTTTCGTCCATTTCAAGGTTTCAAACGAACTTTATTTACCTCATTTTACACATTCTTTTTTGAGAAACTGAAACATGCTAAGTTTGCCAATAAATTCTCTGCCATTCATAGCACCGGAAAGTTGAATGCAGTTTCACAAGAGCCCGCAATTAAACTCTCTCCCGAACCACATGAATCCAATCCACACACACACTGATTTATTTCTTCATTATGCACAATTTTTCCCTATTCTCGTCTAGACCTATATGTGCCCAAAATAATCTTGAATTCATATTTTCAGACTGAAAGGTTTAATGCATTTCTCCTCCTGGCCATGCAGCCTACATGCCCCCATTAACAAAAGTAATACTACTAATAATAATAATTTCTACTTTTATAAAATGTATTCAATTGATTAAAGTATGTTTCTAATTTTGCATCAAGGAAAATGGGACTGGGAAGATGAAAATGATAAAATAGTATGGCATGTATACACGTTACTAGGCAACGATCTCGAAATAAGCAGATACACAATAGCCGTTGCAAGGTAATGTCCGGAACAGACACGCACGCAACAATAGAAGAGCTGTTGGAAGCGGTGTTCTCTGTACAGCCCGTTCAGAACACCTGTCAGTTAGACTGAAATAATTCATGGCCTATTATTAGGGAACATAGGTCCGATAGTATCTCGCAATAGGACAAGGGTGTAATTAGATTTACATTTGTTTGCTTCCGTAAAAATAGTCAAGAAAATCTTTGCTCTGTTGAAATTACAAAATTAAAAATATGTTACCACATATGTAAATACAGGTTTTTGATTGGCAGAAATGAACAGCAAATTATCTCCAGCATGTACCATACACGTATGGAATTTATAGTACAATAAGTTGCCTAGCGACTACTCGAAAACGAACATGGCCGTGCAGCAGAAACTGCATTGCAATTTGGAAACTGCTTTGTTCTTGTTGTTTTTCTACGCGGTGGTTACTTAGTTTTTCTCAGGGCTCTTGGACCCGCATCTATGTTCTTCAGAGCATAACTTTTTGTGGGAGAAGGAATTAGGCAGAAAATTACACCCCCTCATTAAAAGAACCTTTCTTCGGAATTTCAAATTCATAAAACTGCGATGTAATACTTGGAAGTCGGTATGGCAGCTAGCTACGGGCTGGACGACCGAGAGTTCGGAGTTCGAGTCCTGGAAGGGTCAAGAATTTTCACTTCTCCATATCTTCCAGACAAGCTCTGGGGTCCACTCAACCTTCTACACAATGGGAACGAGGAGCTCTTTCCCGAGAGTAAAGCGGCCGGGGCGTGAAGTTGACCGCTCACCAATTAGTGCCTAGGTCAAGAAAATGTGGATTTATACATCCACTCCCACATACGTCTTCATGACGTAATGCTTAATTAGTTAAGGACAGGAACAAATTTAACTTAAGTTTGCACGAACACAAAACTGAGTTATCTTAATATGAATAAAAATAAAAAAAACACAGCACATTTTTTCACGTTTTAGTTTTCTCGTCAGTTCCTACGCAATGTCTTCCCCAGAATTGCAGTGAGAATGAGTCATGTTGATGTTCTGGGGCAGAAGCCGCAGTCACAAGGCGGAAAAGAAGTAAGAGCCCTCGAACCCAGTAAGAAATAAGAAATGAAAAAGCTTAAAATAAAAAATAAAGAACTCACATCACAACCCAAAATAAATAATCAAGAGTTATATATAATTCCGTGTTCCGTGTGGAATACAACTTATTTGAAAGATACAAATGTAGAATTATTCATAACGTGAGAAATACTTGGAGGTATGTGCCTAATAAATTATTTTGGACAGCCTTTGCCTCTTCACTGAACTAGGAAAAAATGAATTTCCTTTCAAGAAACAGCCCACTAAGAGGAACCTTACATGTATTTACCATTTCTTATGATGTATCTTTTGGATAAAGAGGATAGCACTTGGATACCATTTGCATATTTTTCTAAATGCAAAATATCACTAATTTCAAAGGAATTGTCTGCCAAAAGAAAATTTTCTTCACTTATACGTATATACGGCAGAGAAATGTACACAGCAATTTCAGGACAGTTTGTTGATCACAATTGTTACGTATACATCAACATCTGTAGGTGTTTGGGTTCTTAAATATGGTATGACCTCCAAAACATGTTCCTTTGACGAGGTTACTATGAAATATGTGAAGATTACGTACTCACTGGGTCACAGTCCCAGTACCTTTATTGTGGAGGAAAGTGTGGCGAAAGGTATCGATTTGGATTTGAACCTATTTTTTTGATAGAAGAAATTAATAGATTTTCAAGGTTGTCTCTCCAACAGGAACCTATTTTGTGTTTTCCATTCTTTCTACGACGTACAAATTGGGAAGAAAAAATAGGGTTTAAATTCTTGACAGACGGACAGACATTTAGTTTATATATATATACATTAGAAATGAAAAATTTAAATAGTTCCGTTCAGTGTGACTGGTTAAGATTTTCTTATTTCAATTATTTATGCCCTTACATGTTTCGGTCTTCGGAAACCATCTTCAGAGGGACACCTTTACATCAATGCAGTTAGAAGCCACTATTACAGTACATGTTCTAAAAGTTAAAATATATACATACAATATAAATAATATACAATTGGCTGTAACATCTAAAGTCTTTACAACTACAGCAGCTGTTTCAGTACTTTAAAATATTTATAGTTAGTTTGTTAAGATTCTATTGGAATTCGAAAACCGATCAGGTTCGTGTCGTTCCTCTTATATTTTTTTTTTGACAGGGGCTGAACGTGTGCCGCCTGTCGTTGCCGAGAAGAGGGCTCTTTGATGTTGTTCTGTATGTGTTTGTGGCCCGCTGTGCTGCTTAAAAATAATTATCATCAAAGTGACGTTTTACGACAATTCTAAGACATAAAATGGTTTATGTTAATTTTTAAGAGCAAAAGAATTAGTTTGCACAAAACCTGGCTGCGATCGTCAAGAAAGTATTTGAAGTATTTCTTCCGTAAATAAATATAAGTGATTTGCCTTATTGTTTTAATTGTGTAACATATAATCCATTGTATCAATTTTTTTTAATTTCGAGTCTACAATGTCAACAAAAGCCTGTAGAAAAAATCTTCAGATTTTAAAGCATAAGGTAAAAGTAAAGTTGTCCCCGTGCTTAACTAAGCACTACGCCATGAAGACATATATATATATATATATGTCTATATTTTCTTGGCCTCGGCACTAGCTGCAGGTGAGTGGCCAGCTTGATGCCCCTACCGCTTTACCTCCGGGGAGAGAGCCCCCAGTACCCATTGGAGGGGAGGCTGAGTGGGCCCCAGAGTTGGTCTGGACAACGTGGAGAAGAAAAAATTCTGACCCTACCGGGACTCCAACTCCGACACTAGATCGTCCAGCCCGTAGCCAGTCGCTATACCGACTCCATTTTAAAGCATAATCGAGATTTAAATTATCTTCAAAAGAAAATTTAGAATAAATTTAAAACATACACATATTTTTACTGAATTCTTAAAAAATATGAAAGAATGCATACACAATCCACAATCATCATCCATAATATGGGACTATTGATATTGCATCAGTAGAATTTATTAGTTTTTATTCAGCCTAAAATCTGGATCTATTTATATCAAAATGAGAGAAATACAAAACGTAACCTACGTAGTCCCGGTCGGGTCTTCAAGGAACTGTAGAAGCTTCAACACATTCTCGGAACACGACGCGTTTTGTGGTGCGAATATAGCTGCGCCTTGCCAAGCTGCCACCCGCGACACTCTCTACCGGTCGACTGAGTCTTCTCAATAGCCACGAGAACGCGGAGATGAAATAAGCTCTGCTCATGCGCAGGACCGTACTTTTAAACCGATAGCGATATAAGTTGATTGTGAGTACATCTCTCATTACAGTGAATTAACGATATTTCGGTAGATATTTTTGGAATATGCGAACACTTCGATGTACCAAAAGCGTACATATTGTTTACAATGTGTTAAAGACTTACTTACTTACTCATGGAGCTGAGCCCTTTGGAGGAGCCGCCAATTCTGCAGCTACTCAAGAATGTCCCAGCATTTTATGGAACCTGAAGGTTCAATACCGTGTTCGCAAGAGCCCTCCACTGGTCCCTATCCTGAGCCAGATCTATCCAGTCCATACCATCCCATCCTATCTCTCTAAGATCCATTCTAATATTGTCAACCCACCTACGCCTTGGTCTTCCCTGTGGTCTTTTCCTTCTGGCTTTCCCTCCAATATCCTATACGCATTCATCGTCTCCCCCATTCGTGCTACATGACTTGCCCACCTCATCCTCCTTGACTTGATCATTCTAATTATACTTGGAGAAGAGTACAAGTTATGAAGCTCCTCATTATGCAGTTTTCTCCAA